GTAACTCAGAAAACGAAATGATTAAGTGTCGTTTCGGATTAGAATTTTATTCATTAATAAGATTACGCAAATTCGTCTTATGAGAAAGATGCTAAGAATTCTAGGTTTGTTTAGCCTTGGTCGAGTATCTTGTTTTCCCAATAAGGTGAATATGGTAGAACACCATGTGGATCAGTGTTTTCTGACAAGTATTGGTTCCATTTCAATAGTCTTGCAAGTTTTACAAAACGTTTCGAAGATGAGCCTAACGTCCTGACTAACAAATGATCAAATTACTAACAATGAATTTTATAGGTGCAATCGCAAACACAACGAAAGCTAAAATTTAACATCTACTTATCAGATTCTACATAGCGGACGGTAATTTAAAATGAAGGACTGATTGAAAACGACAGTATTGTTTACGCTTTCTACGTTGTCCACTGAAAACGCTAGAACACACATTGTTTAGACACTTCCTTGAAATTAAATGGCACAGAGATTTTGCGAACGTTTTTCAAGTTCCATTCGTTTCGGTTTTCTGGATAGTGGCTGACAAATGACACGTAGACACATGTGCGTGCTCGTGCTTTTGTTCCCTACAACCGTTTGTTACTCCATAATAAAAGCCACACACACGTATTTATTTTTGGCTTGGGCCAGTAAACAGTTAAACCAATCTACTCAAAGCTCACCACTGAACAGAAAATTTGATAGTTTTGGCATCAGCGACTTGCAGATTTTCAATCGCAGTAGACGGCAGTCATTTACAGCTCATAAATATCTTGTTGATCAGAGTTCACCTCTAAAATATTGTAAACAGATCCATTGGTCATTGAGGTAATAGGACAGCTCCCTCATGACCTATTAAGGTCCTCTGCAAAATGTGAGAGGGACTTCAAAAGTGGTTAAAATGGAATAGTTTCTGAAAACTAGTTATGCTTTTGCCCTCCATGGTGAGTGGCGTTATATCCTCAACTATCTATTTTCGATGTGAAAACGCATTCCAATGCGTCGCATTTCATTAATCAAGAATTTGAACCGATCACACCCTTGAACGTGTTACAGAAAGAATGATCAAGGTGCTGCGCCTTCAAGAATACCGACAGAAGCACATGGCAGAACTACGAATAAAATCAAAACCAAATATACGACCGGAAATTAAAACATCTCAGAGAACAGTAGCGTAAGGGAAATAAAGATATTAATCACTTTATTAGAACGTTCAGCAACCATTATTTTTCAAAACTCTTGATTCACTTAAAAACAATATGAAGTTTAATAAAAACCGGCATATTTTCTCTTCAGTTTAGTAACCAATACTCTGGAAATGGTGATATCATACATTATGCGAGATGCAAATGAGATAAGAGGTAAACAAACTGAACACTGTGATGTTTTAGAAAGGTAACAGTTTAGCTGTGTCAGGTATCCTCAAGCTGATTTCAAATTTTAACGATTTCAGCCCACATATTAAGAACCGCGTCAACATATTTGGATTTTGTCTCATGGTGGAATCAAAGTCTTGTAACCTGGAAAAACGAGGGATGTTTGGCGTTTCCACCAAAGTGAGTATATTGTTGCCTCCCCCCGGCTAGTCGGCTATTGAGGTGTATGAATAATGCACGGTTTTACCCATTAAACAAACTGAGTACGAAACAAATTAGACAGCAATGTGTTTCCCTGCCATACCTCCCGGAATTCCGACCCGGACTGCTTGTGCTTTAATCGCGTTCTGCTATTTTCATAGTTTTTTCGAACTACAAATCTGCATACTGATCGTCTACACTGTGACCGATAATTCATTGATCGTTTCAATGCCACAAACGGCATCGGTTGAGTCTAGTAAATGTTTGCACTGACTCACAAACATACTATGCTGTTAATTCGAATAACTGATGTTTTGAACCAGTTTTGGGAGGTTTCAATAGAAGTTCACTTCAGAACTCATTGGGGCGGTCAAGACAATTGATGAATTTCGGACAAACGAAACAAATCTGTGACCATGTTTTAGTAGTCCGGATGTGAATGAACAATTACTGTTAAGCTTAAATGTGAGTGACTAGGCGCCAGTGTTGAATGGTATCTCAAATGAATTATGGCAAATAGTTAGGTACAACCAACCACAACATAAAATGCTACTTAACTGCGCCGAGTGTGCACATAAATACAAATATATCCGTGCGTCTATCAGAAGAGTGCATAACATTCTATTCAGATAGATGCTCGAGGCATAACCAAACCGTAAATACTTTGATCGACTTTACTAAATCAGTGAAGCAATTTTTGAAGGCCATTAAAACGCAATGAAGGATTCGAATATGCCTGACTCCGTTGCACAAATTGGTATTTTTGATTGTGCGCA